CCCCACTCCCCTACTCCCTTTTAAAAACGTGTGTACATCTCTGTCAGCTAGGCCAAAAGAGACCATCAGATCCCCTGAAGCTGGAGTTAGTGGTAGTTGTGAGCTGCCTGACATGGGTGCTGGGATTTGAACCGCATCCTCTGGAAGAGCAACGAGTCATCTCTCCACCCTCTTTCTGAGGAGACCAAATAAGTTTCCCTGCATGGTAGGGTCTGAAAGCACAAAATGCAGCGAAGTGGGTACCTTCAGCAGACCCTGCCAAGGTATGCCTCTAAGAGAACACGCCACACACAACAGAGTTAGTGTAAGGGGCTTATTGGGGGACAGGGAGAGTGAAAGAACGAAAGGCCACCTCAGAGTGGGGACATGAGAGAGGCAGACAGAGTCCCGGCAAGACAGGCAAAAGCAAGCGAGAGGACTGTGAGTGACGGACACTTTAAGGGGTGCCTGTGTCGCGTGGCTGATGATGGAAAGGCACCTGGTGGCAGGCAGCCTTGGTGACTAAGGCAGGCTGGCCACCATGGTGGGAACGAACAGGTCCAAAGTCCTCACCTTCTTGCACCTAATTTTCCATTTCTCTTAAAATAACTGGGACCAGGGTCCTCACCAAACAGGACCTCTAGGAACATTGGAACCCAATGCTGGGTCCACAGGACTATGCCATGATCAAACCTTGGAAGGTTTTGTCTGCAGACTCTGGCCATTTTCTGGATTGTCCAAGGGACAGGACCAAGAGTAGCTGATTTCAAACTGGCTTTTCTTTTCCTTGGTTTTGACACGAAGGGAAGGGAGATGGGGAGGCTCTAGCTCTCGCCTGGCTCTTCTCTGCTGCATCAGGGACCCTGGCTGCACTAGACATGCAGTGTGTGGGTGGGCCTTGGGATTGCCCCTGCACTAAGACTAACCTGGCTGCTGACTGATTCAAGACGCCCCATTTCTGAGAGTGGTGGCAGCCTTCACCCTGGTGACTGTGATTGGCACTCACTGGTATTTACTGTGGAACTCGAAACACATTAGCTCAGGTAGAAACTGGGCAGGTGTCCACAGTCAGCAGTAATGACCTCACACATCTGGGGACAGTCTGGGTGAGGATGGATCGATTGCTCTTTATCCTGTTTCCTCCCAGAAGTGAGAACGGAATGAGCACGAGCAAATTCCCCTTAGTCTCTGCTTTGCTGGGCTCTCCTTTGTGCTGACAGAGAAATTTATCCCTTTCTTCCTTGGTTTTTGAGACAGTCTCACTGGGAGTCCAAAGTGGGCTCCAACTTGCTGGACAGTCTCTTGATCCTCGTGCCGTCCTCTGCCTCCCGGTGCTAGGATTAAAAGTACGTGTGCACTCGGCTTTGTGGAAGGTTCTTGAGTCTAGTTTCAGACTCCCTTCTTTGTGTGACCCTCTGAATATCCTTTGTGTTTTTGAGACCTGCGCTTATGGGATGATCTTTTGTTATTCTTGTCCTTGTAGCTACCTCACGTAAATCTCCTTTCAACTACTCAAGTGTCCTAAATGGCCCCTACAGTGCAGACAGACTGTCTGATGTTTAAACCCTGAGAAGTTACTGTCGTAAACCACAGCCTCTGTTCATAGACATGTATTGTAGCTTGGCCACATCCCTTCACCTCTCCTAGCGAACAGATTGTAGTTCTTGTCCATGGCTCCTCCGCAAGATGCCCCAGATGTGGACAGACGGAAGGATAACTCATCCTTGTCCTGTTTTTCGAGCTATGATGATATCTTCTGCTGAGTGTTTTACAAGGATGTAGTGCTTTCTAATTTTGTGGACATCCATTAATGGAGGACGTTCTAGCATTACCCAATGCCATCTAAGAAAGCGAGGGAGCGGGGAGATGTTTTCTGGCTGGTGACTTCTGAAGGAGAGACTGTCTACCCCAGTGAAGCTTCTCATCTTCCATCTTCAGTGTTTGAGTCAGAAAATGCAGCTGTAGTTTGGGGGACACAGTGTCAGTGTGGCCCCCAGGAGCTCAGAAGCCTCTCTGATCATACATTTGTAACTTTGAAGAAAAGTTAGACACCAAAGTTTTGGCATTAGCTGTGGAACTTCTCTGCGGGGAGAACTGTCCCTTGTGTCCCACCTGTGTGTGGTGTGAACAGAGCTCACAATTGTTTCTGAGAGACTGGAACACCCTCTGGTTACTAAAACCCTCAGCCGTGGTCAGTTGCCTTTGGTGACTGGTTGACTTCGCTGGTCCTCAGGTCCCGGCATTTTCTGCAATGTTCGGAGGCTTCTGCGAGAGTTTTGTTTCTACCCACTCACATTCCATTCACAGCCATCCCAGTGGAAGAAGAAATGGAATCCTTCAAGGGAGACCGACCCTGGCACGATGACAATGACAGGAAAAGAATGTTGCTGAGACTCACGGTCACCCGCTACCACCAGAGTCTTTCATCAGCTTGGGCTTTATCTGTCTTCCCTTAAGTTGTCTCTTCCAGGTTTTCTGCTTTTAACCACTGCTTCTTCCAAGTGGGCTAGAAGATGGGTGCTGATTAACACAGAAGTTAGACACATCTAGAAAGACATCCTTAAAAGTTTTTGTCGTTTAAAAAAACACGAGGCCTGCTATAGAGAAGTACGGTCAGGAGCAAGAGATCTCAGACTACCTGGGTCCAAACCTGAGCCTTGATAAATTACTGTCTAACTAAATTTCCCCATTGATAAAAAGAGGATGTGGCAGTCAGTGGTGGCACACACTTTAATCCCAGCATTTGGGAGGAGAAGACTTCAACAGAGGCCAGCCTGGTCTACAGAGTGAGCTTCAGGACAACCAGGACCACACAGACCCACTTCCCTCCAGGCTTCTCCCTCACCCCCCACTAAAAAAGGCTGCATACGGTTCTGGGTCTGTGTGTTTAGTATTTGTAAAGTGCTTAAAATGGAACCTGGAACAATAATATTCTACAAATACTTAAAATGTGAGTAAAAATAGTTGACAAAGGATACCTGAAGCTATTAGTTCAGATTGTATGGAGGGGTTGCTTTTAAGGGTCTCAAAGGGCAAGCCAGGGTAGCCTCAGACTCTCCAGTAATGGAGCACCCCCAGTTAGAGACTACTGATGAGCTGACAGAGGTGACTGCTGTGGCGGGTTTCCCGTGTAGAGGTGCTCAGGGGTCTCAGTTCCCCGGTGGACCATGCAGCAGGTAGCAGCTCCTAAAGGAAAGGTGTTGTGCTGGGTGAGGTTGACGTCAGTCCCTTATTGGCTTTCTTTATTCAACACCTTCTACATGGAAATGAACACACACCCAGTTCCATGTGCCGATCTTGGTGTTCTCAGATCTCTGCATGGCTGAGCTGTGGGCTGGAAGGCAACTTGCAGAACCTTCCTGGAGCTGGAGAGTCCCTTCAACTTTCCTGTAATTATGTCTCAGCCCAGAGCATCTGGTTTTACTGAAAGATAATGATCCTTAGCCAGCGCCTGGAAATTCAGGTTGGGGCTCTCTGCCATACTGTCACCTCTCCAGGAGTGAGGCTGAGCCACCATTAAGAAGTGCCTCGAGCAGGTTAAATGCCTTGCACCAAGTTATTTACAAAGCATTTTCACTCTTCTTAGCCGCCACCCTTGACAAGTCCAGTCATGCTTCTGCTGATTTTGACTGCTTAGATCTGTCCTGGCTGTGTAAAGGAATGAGGCCAGTTCCCATTCCCTGCCTGTGACAAGCCCCCAAAGATGACCCACTTGTGCTGTTGGGAGAGGTTTTTTTAAAAGCATCTTTGAAGGTTCCTAATTTGGACTTTAGAAATGGTATCCTGGAACCACTAGAGATATGGTTCAGTCAGTAAAGTGTTTGCTGCACCCATTTAAAAAAAAAAAAAGTCTGACAAGGCGGGGGACCTGTAATCTCAGTATGAGGAGGTAGAAACACTAGATGGAGTCCTGGCACTTGCTGATCAGCCAGCCTGGGCTGGCTTGTTGAGTTCCAGGCCAATGAGAGATTCTTGTCTTACAAAACAAGGTGGACAATATCTGAAGAATTATGCCGAGGTTGATTGCACAGACAGACCGACAGACAGACACACACACACACTCCTATACATGCTTATACCTCCCATAACAAAGAATAGCTGAAGTTCACATAGATCCTTCTGCAAAGATCCATTTGACTGACCTATTAGATCCATTTGACTCCAAAGAAGCATATTTTACCAGTGGGATTGATGGTGGTGCGGGTACCTGCCCTCTCACGATGGAAGTATTCATGTCTATTTTCTTTGGCAAGCACCCGGCTTTTGATTTCAGACATGTTTACAAGGGCGGCCCCTGGTGGAAGAAATGAACACTGCAGGACAGGCATCTTCCCCAGGCCGAAAGTGGAGACTGTAGAGGTGCCTCGATTTGTAAAGGAGACATAGGAAGAGGAATTTTCATAAGAGAATGCTTGGACAAAATGGAAATTCCATTTTGAGTAGTGATGGACACTGTGTGAAAAGGTGGAACGTAAGCTAATTTCTGAGTTTTATTGTGAACCTTTTTTTCAACCTTGATTACTTTTCTCTGTGTGTACACGAGTGTCCCATGGTACGTCTGTGGAGGTCTGAGGACAGCTCACGGAGGTCAGCTCTCTTATCCTGTGATCAGCTCTTTTACTGTGGGGGGGTTTTAGCTATTGATCTCAGGTTGTCAGGTTTGGCTGTAAGCACCCATATATATCTGCTGAGCCATTTTGGTGACCCTTGTTTTGTTTTTTTTCAGTCTGAATTTATTTTGTCATTCTGAAAATGATACTATTTTCACTGACAACTAACTAGGTGAGGAAAAACAAAGCAGACTTCAGAGATCAGTTGCCCTGTCTGTAGGAAGATATTAATGATGATGATGATGAGGCCCCTGGGTATGGGTGTTCATCGTCAGCTTGTGGTTTATTGAGCCAGTGCATGTTCTGTATGATTTGGTGGGTGGGTCAAGTTCACTTTATGAAGAAGGAGTGTCCTTATCTGTGATCTAGTTGTCCAATATTCTAATTGCTGTAATCTCTGTCGTCCTACAGTGAGATTTGAAGGGTGCACTGGTCGGCCAAGGACAGCCTACTTTTCTGAGGACTCCAAATTCAAAGTGGCTCCCGACGGTGCCATCACGCTCAAGCGCCCTCTAAACCTTCATAAACTAGAGACCAGCTTTCTTGTCCATGCCTGGGATTCTACTCACAAGAAGTTTTCTGCCAAAGTGGTACTGAAGTCTGTGAAGCACCACCAACACCGGCACCACCACCATGTAGGTTGGGCTGTTTCTTGGATGTGTGTATATTTTTCAGATTGCTGTTGACCTGGGTTCTCTAACCTTGGTATTGGGATCTTGTGAGGCAAGATAATTTGTGGGAAGACCCTATGGGGTGCTAAGTGGCCTCCTTGATTCCAGGAACACCCGTCAATTAACCACAGCCAAAACTACCCCCAGAAACTGTTTGACTTGTGGGGTAAGGGTGGGGGTGACAAAAATTGTCTCCAGTTGAGAACAGTCTTTCTGTAAACTCATTCTTGTTGGATTTGGGGGTTGCTGTTGGATTATAGGGATCTGGAGGTAGGATAAGGAGGAAGACACGGACCTGCTTGGCCTTGTTAGCCCACCACTGCTCTCTCTGGTCCCAGTAATTAGAGAGGAGCCATTTAACCCATGTAGACTGAGTGAATTCACACACACACAAAACACTAAGAACATATGTACACACTTCTGCCCTCCATGGGTGCCTGCATGCCCACGGTGCACATAAATTCATGCAAACAAATAATAAACAAACTGTTTGTTTTCAGCCTTGTTTCTACTGTCACTGGCGGCAGATCCCTCCCCAGGTGTTTGCAATGCCTGCTGTGAGGTCCAGAACACCAGCAAACATTGAAGAGGCTGATACACAGGCAGACTATTTGCTGTTTAGATTCTGGTCCTGAATGGCCCTGGAGGTTGTTACGAGAAGCCAAATGCCTTTGCCCACCTTAAATGTTCTCTTGGTATTTCCTATGGGTCTCTCCAGGGGACTTTTCTAGCCGTATCTCGCCTCCTGCCTCAGAAGTGTGAATTGTGCCATATTCATTCAGTGCCAAAGCCTTTAAGGCTGATTCCTGTTCTGTTCCCTGAAGACTCTTGAGGTTCATGGAATTTAATAACCCTCTAATCTAGTTTTTCTCTGTGATGCAATTAAAGAATGAAAGAACTTAGTTCAATTACATTAGCCATGACTTCCTGACTCCAGTTGGCCGCTCGAGCATGCAAGTTCAGCACAATAAGTGTGTCTCCCCACTTCCCACCACCCCAGACAGTTGACTGCGGTAGCCTTCTAAGACCAAGAGCAGTTTGGGGCTTGTTTTTCCTCTCGCACCTCCCCCAACTCCCCATACACCTCTGCCTCTGCTGTCTTCACTCTGTTTTCATTTCTGCTGTATCAGGATTTGATTCAAGTGTACATTATAGAAACCCCCAAGCTGGGTGTGGTGGTGCACACCTTTGTGGTTTCTTTATTTTGTTGTTGTTGCTGTTCTTTTGAGATAGGTTTTCTCTGTGTGTAGCCCTTGCTGTCCTGAAACTCTCTTTGTAGACCAAGCTGGGCTCGAACTCACAGAGATCTGCCTGCACACTCAAGCTTGTGTTCCCCCTGCCTCAGACTCCCACATGCTGAGACTACAAGTGTACACTATAGCACTAAGTGATCACGTGGCTTTGTTTCATATTAGCAGGGTCTCATTATACCCTTTAACCCATGGCAGGCTTGAACTCCTGATCCTCAATTTTTTTTTTTTTTTTTTTGAGATAAGGTCATGCGTTGCAGCCCTGGCTGGTCTAGAACTCACAGTGATCCGACTATCTTTGCCTTCCAAGTGTTGGTATTAAAGATGTGTGCCAGCATGCCCAGTACCCACCACGGTTTTCAAGACTGGGTTTTTCCAACTAGACTGGGATCTACCTGTTACTGTCTCCCCAGTGCTGAGCTTACAGTTGTGACAGGTGTACTGTTGTTGGACGACTTGTTGTATATTCCCTGCATTGGAGTTAAATTCCCCCCAAATATTACGTTAGTGTTTTCCAACTGTTGTCATCGTCATTTACTGAGAACTTGCTGTATTTCAGGCACTATTCTAGATATTTTATATGAAAGCAAGTATCATTTAGTCCTTATAAGAACTCTAGGACCTTGACACAAATATCATACTCTCAATTTTAACCAGATGTGTCACATACCTTTAATCCCAACATCTGGAAAGTAGAGATAGGTGATTTCTATGAATTAATGGTCAGCCTGGTTTACACAGTGAGTTTCAGGTCAGTCAGGGCTACGATGTGAGACTCTATCTCTACAAAACAAAACAAATACCCACTTTAGTCATTGAAGTTATGTGATCTCCTCTGGAAACAGATGGGGAGATGAGAATGAAACTCAAGGTAGCCAGTCCCAGAGCCAAGACTTGGACCATGCTGGCTTTCTTTTGTAGGTGACAGATGCAGGGATGGCAAGGGCAGAGTGTGTCAGGTGTGTGTGTGTGTGTGTGTGTGTGTGTGTGTGTGTGTTTGTGTGTATGATAGGTATGCGGGATTGGGTTTTAGAATACGTAGTCACATTTTATATTTTTTTTCATGTTTTGAATCTTAGGAAGAAAAACAACAGCAAAAACTGGAGGGCTGAAAATGTAGCTCAGTTGGTAGAGTCTGGCCTAGCATGTATGAAGCCCTGACTTCTGTTCCCCACCATCACTCAAGCAGCATGGTGGAACATGTCTGTCGTCCTGTGATAGGTAGAGGGAGGAACTGAAGTTCAAGATCATCCTTGGCTATACAATTTGAAGCCAGATTGGGCTTCATGAGATTGTTTCTAAAGAGACCCAAACCAAACAGCAAACAAGTAAACAGGAAATAGGGCTTGGTTAGAATTTGGTAGGTGGTGGTCTGTGTTGCTGAGTAAGTATCTCCCTGTGAAGGAAGAGGGTGAAATCTTCCAGAAACTTTGTTACCACAAATCATTCTAGAGCACTTAAACAATTTAGGAGGCATTTTCCTTTTATCTTCAGCTCTAATTTCCCTGAGTGTGCATGAAGTTACCTTTATTGCACGTTGGAACTGTTCAATACGAGTCTCCAGGTTATTTTTGTTTCCCATCCAGCAGCTTCTGTTAGAACAAATGGGACCCTTTTAGGGCAAGGTAAGATTAACACATTTGTATCGATCTCAAAGTAGTTCTTAGTAGCAATTCCCCAAACTTAAACAAGTTTGGTAATTTAAACAAGATTGATAAACTCCACTTTAGAGAACTGTATCCCTAGGAACAAAGAAAGAAAGTCCAGAACTCCCAAATATCAGTTCTGCATCACCTGATCCTATCGGCATAGTGTCGTTTAAAGGACATGCATTTTGTAAGTTTTGTCAAATGTTCGCACCCACAAATTCTGGACATTAAGAATTTAAAGAGCTCAACCTGGTGGTGATGGCTCACATGGCTTGTGTGCCTTTAATCTCAGCACTTGGGAGGCAGAGGCAGTTGGGTCTCTGAGCTTGAGGACCACCAGGGCTACATAGAGGAACCTGTCTTGAAATAACAACAACAGCCAGAATTTAAAGAGAATATAGTATTTGTTCATTATGTGACTGTGTTAGTCAGTATTCTGACACGATAACAAAATTCCTGGGACAAGGAACATAAAAAGGAAAAGGTTTTACTTGGGTTTTCAGTTCTGGAGGTTTAAGACCGAATGACGCAGCTATTTTGTCCTCTAGCAAGGACAACACATCAGACTGAGAGTGTATAGGAGAATACACCACACTTATCTGATGATAAATGAAGCAACGCAGAGACTGAGGTCTCACAGTATATTTCAAGGGCACATCTCCTGCGATCTGAAGACCTCTCATTGGCCACTGAGTTAGGAACCAGGCTTCCAAGCGTAGGGACCATTATGGGCAGTCTGTGCCCAAACAATAGCATTGTCAGGAGCTCTTCATTTTGGATGGGACATGGAATTTGCTATTGACAATGTGTTATTAGTGGACGAGATGGAACCGTAGACCTCCTATCTTCTGAATTGCTTCATTTTGTTAATCTTCTTTCCTCTTAGGAGCCTGTCTCTGGATCCGAGCCGGAAGTGCTCCTGTTTCCCAGCTCTCACCAGGGTCCCAGGAGACAGAAACGAGACTGGGTCATCCCCCCCATCAGCTGCCCAGAAAATGAGAAGGGCCCGTTTCCTAAAAATCTGGTTCAGGTAGGGGAAGGACCGAGAGAAAAGATGATGAAAGGACCCAGTGTCAAGATCTTTCCTTGCCAATTCTGTCTCTTTTCTGTTTTTGTGCAGATCAAATCCAACAGGGACAAAGAAACCACGGTTTTCTACAGCATCACTGGCCAAGGAGCTGACAGACCTCCTGTTGGTGTGTTTACCATCGAGAGAGAATCAGGCTGGCTGAAAGTGATGGAGCCTCTGGATAGAGAAAATATCGCCACTTACACCGTGAGTATTTCATAGATACTTGTTGACTGTTAGGTAACAATTGTCAAGTTTTGGGGGCCATCCGTGTTTTATCCCCGGGTTAGATGCCCGGAACGTGTGAGTAGTATCACTTATCCCTTGACGTGTTGGAAAAGTGGAGACAGGAGAACAATCTAGGGTGGTAATTGTTTTGTTTGGCTCTTTTCCTTGGAGGAGAAAAGCAGGGGTTCCTCATAGCCTACATGAGCATAGATAGAAGTTGTCAAAGAGGAGCTGGAGAGATGGCTCAATGGTTAAGAGCATTTGTTGCTCTTATAATCTTTTTCTTTAAAAAAAGATATTTATTTATTTATTTATTATGCATACAGTATTCTCAGTACTCTGCCTGCATGTCTGCCTGCAGGCCAGAAGAGGGCATCAGACCTCATTACAGATGGTTGTGAGCCACCATGTGGTTGCTGGGAATTGAACTCGGGACCTTTGGAAGAGCAGGCAATGCTCTTAAACTCTGAGCCATGTCTCCAGCCCCTTGCTCTTATAATCTTGACTTTAGTTCCCAGCACTCACATCAGGTGACTCACAACCACCTGAAACTCCAGCTCTAGGTGCTCTGATACCCTCATGACCTCCATGTAATACATGAAAGTGCATGTGAACACACAAATACACACAAAAAGTGAAAAGATGTCAACTTGTTCTTGGGGTTTGGGAGAAGCTTCTTATATAACAAAACATATTCTGATGTCAATAATATGAAGAAAAATCCACTTCTGGGGCTTGGTTACAATGTGAGCCTGTACTCACATGTAACCATGTGAGTTAGGTAACCTGTAGATGCCATATGCAGAAAAATCTCAGGAAACATTAGACTGTTGTAGCCCGAGGAAAATTACCCCAATTAAAGTGAGTCTCTATGGGCTGCCTCGTGGGTGTGTTCTTGTCTATGAGTTCATTAAGCAGCAGCAACAGCATCACATCGTGTGGAGATCTCACAGTGGAAGGAGTGGAGGCCGATGAAGCCACTCTCACTGGACTCCCTCGCCCAGTTCCTCTTCTGGGCAGGGCTAAGTAACCCTCACTTGGCACTTCTTGCAGCTCTTCTCCCATGCTGTGTCGTCAAATGGGGAGGCAGTGGAGGATCCCATGGAGATTGTGGTCACAGTGACCGATCAGAATGACAACAAGCCGGAGTTCATCAAGGAGGTCTTTGAGGGAACTGTCGAAGAGGGCGCTCGTCCAGGTAAGTCAGTCACAGCAAACTGGGTACCCAGAAAGATGCTTCAGTTCTTTGGGATTAGAACCTGGGGTCAGGTCCCTGAAGTTCAGACGTGTTCTTTGAAAGCCACTGTGAGAGGTGAGGTGGGAGTGTGAGGGAAGCAGATATAACATTTGTAAGTAGAAACAATAAAAGAATAACCTTCTTAGGGCTTGGTGTTGCATGCATGAGACTCCAGCTCCAGGGGATGTGATGCCCTCTTCTAGCCTTGGAGGACACCTGCATGTATGTACAACACACACACATGCACACACCACACACACACCACACATACACACACACCAATAATATATTGATAATAATAATAATAATAATAATAATATCCTTAAAAATAAGATAAGAACTAGCAGGAATAAAAGAGAAGGACTTGGTAGGGGTATTTTAGTTAATTTATTCCCAACATTCTCTGCCTTACCTCCTCTTACCTAAATTATACAGACTTTGAAAGTTGAGTTCCCTGAACATTTGGTGTGACATTTGGTGTAACCTTCCCTTCCCTGGAAATTTGATGAGAATTCTAGCAATAAAACCCGTGGTCAGGAGTGGTCGTCTCCTAGGTCAGGATTGTTCTGAGCAGGCAGAGCCCAGGGGAGCACCACAGCTCTTGTCAATCTCGTCTCCTTTGCACTTCCAGGGACCTCTGTGATGCAGGTCTCAGCCACTGACGCGGACGACGATGTCAACACCTACAATGCGGCCATTGCCTATACCATCATCAGCCAAGAACCCGAGCTGCCTCACAAAAACATGTTCACTGTTAATAGAGACACAGGGGTTATCAGTGTGGTCACCTCCGGACTGGACCGAGAGGTCAGTCAGGGCTCAGGAGGAACGCGGTGGGAGTTGGAGGCAAATGAACGTCTACTAAGTCTCAAGGATGGTGCAACCCTCTGCTGAGCCTGGCAGTCAGTGTGAGTCTTTGCATCTAAATGCCTGGAGGCAGGCAGCCTGGGCAGTGAGACAGATGATGACGTAGTCTAGTTTTCTGTATGCAGTGGGCTGCACCAGGCTTGGGCTGGCTGTCGGAGCAGGTTCTGATTCCATGTTTAATTTCTGCAGAGTTACCCTACATACACCCTGGTAGTTCAAGCCGCTGACCTTCAAGGCGAAGGCTTAAGCACAACAGCAAGGGCTGTGGTCACTGTCACCGACGTTAACGACAACGCTCCCATCTTCAACCCAAGCACGGTAATTCTGTCGCCTCTTGGGTCTGTGAGGGGCTCTTCCCTGTTCAGGAGCTAAGTTTTGCCTCTGTGCATGGGTGAATCCCTAGGTTAGTGAATGCGAACTTCAGACACACTAGAGTAGTATGGTATGATAGTAGTATGCTTCCTAAATGCTGGGTTACAGCTATAAGCTGCCACCCCAGCTTCATAAGAGTGATTGAATACCAAGAAGATCAAATGTATTCAAGGAGCAGGTTTTAAGAGCCAGATAAAGGAACTTCACACACATATTTTTAATTAAATTAAGAATTTTGGGACACAGCGTTTTATAGCCCAGGTTGGCAGGCAGGCATGGAATGCCATGTTCAGTTTTTTAGTTCTGGAAGGGAAGATCGTACTTTCCTAAGTTAGAAGTCGATTTAATGGTTGGATAACAGAGGCCTGAATAGTGTAGTTTCTAGAAGCAGAGCTGACTTTTCCCCTCTTATGTCACAAAAGGCCCAGGGAAAACTGCTCTTCCATTATTTATCTTCTTAGTGGTTACTAATAAAGATTAGAGAGTAGATGGGGGTTGGGGACAAATGACACGTGTATCTTTAGATCACAGTTTGCAGATCATCAACCATGATTCTTAAACCCAGTGCCTTGGAAAGATACTTCAGGCGCTGCTATTTGGTCTACTGATGGGAAATGAGGGCCTACTCTTTATCCTTGGGGACTCACTCTTGATCACTCATTCCACTGATTCGGATCTCATTCCTTTAGCCCAAGTCCTGGCTCCAAGTTACTGTCACTTTGTCACCAATGACCTGATTTTTCCTTTGCTCTGTAGTACGTGGGTCAAGTGGATGAGAATGAGGAAAATGCATATATTGCCACACTCAAAGTAACTGACGACGATGCACCCCATACTCCAGCGTGGCAGGCCGTGTACACTATAGACAATGATCCTGACCATCAGTTTGTTGTTATCACAGACCCCACAACCAATGATGGCATTCTGAAAACAGCCAAGGTTTGTATGACTGACGTGCTAGCAGCTGGGCCTCTCTTGTCCTGTAATGTCGTCTCATGATTGGGTCAACACCACCAGGAGAAGGGTAGAGTCTCGGGATAGTATTGACTTTCTGGGGATTGCAGAAACTCTCTTGGCTTGTTAGAAGTGAAGTAAGTGTTAGTCTTTTGGAAAATGTCCTAAAGTCAGAAGCTTGCAGTGATTCTCAACCTATGTGTCGTGACCTTTTAAGAGCAGAATGACCGTTTCACAGGGTTGCTTAAGACCATTGGAAAACATGGAAAACATAGATATTTGCATTACGTCTCATAATAGTAGAATAATTACAGTTGCAAAGTAGCAATGAAAATAATTTTATGGTTGGGGTCACCACAACACGAAGAACTGTATTAAAGGGTCGCAACATTAGGAAGGTTGAGAACCATTGGGCTAGAAAGACAATGGCTTTTGGTAACCAGCACTTATAACTTGGAAAATATCCAAAAAAAAACCAAACAAACAAACAAAAAAAACGTCTAAAGTAAAAGTGGGAATGACTTACTGGTAAATTTAGCAAAAGTTAACAGATGCCCAGAGCGCCTCAGAGCTTTACTGTCTCTTCAGCAAGTGAGCACCCACATTTGAGAACTGCTGTCAATCAAAGGTGGTAGTTGAAGTTAAACCTTTTTTCAGTTTTTGGAAGCAGGTTTTACTGTGTAGTTCTGGCTGTGCTGCCTCTTCTGGAATTAAAGGTATGCACCACCACCACTACACAGCAGAATTTTTTTAAAAAACTAGCCATTTCTTTTTTTAGAGCTATTTATTTGTTCTGTGGCAACAGTGGGTGAACTCAGGGCCCTGAATATGCTGGACAAGTGCTCTACCACGGAGTTATGCACCTAACCCTTTGTATTTTAGTTTTAACTTTTCCCCCCTCCTGGTCTCTAGGGCTTGGATTTCGAAGTCAAGCAGCAGTACATTCTACGTGTGACAGTGGCCAATGCGGTCAAGTTTGAGGGAACTTTTGTTCCTTCCACAGCCACTGTCACTGTGGATGTGGTGGATGTGAATGAAGCCCCCATTTTTGTGCCGGCCGAGAAGAGAGTAGAAGTGCCCGAAGACTTCGGTGTGGGTCAGGAAATTACATCCTACACTGCCCGAGAGCCAGACATATTCATGAATCAGAAGATTACGTAAGTTGGACCAATGACTAGTATTGAGTGGGTGCATACTTTGGTTTTTTTTTTTTTTAGATTTATTTATTTATTACGTATACAGTATTCTTAGTTTTCTCCTGTATGCCTGCAGCAGGCCAGAGAGGGCACCGGACCCCATTACAGATGGTTGTGAGCCACCATGTGGTTGCTGGGAATTGAACTCAGGACCTTTGGAAGAGCAAGCAGCACTCTTAACCTCTGAGCCATCTCTCCAGCCCCTTGTTTTGTTTTTTTTTTTCAAGATAGGGTTTCCCTGTGTAGCCCTGGCTGCCTTGGCACTCACTATTTAGAACAGGCTGGACTCAAACTCAGAAATCCACCTGGCTCTGCCTCCCCAGTGCAGACATGTATTTATGTCTTCCCAGTGTGTGTGTGTATGTATGTATGTCTTCCCAGTGTGTGTATGTACGCATGTATGTATGCAATTTAAACCAACATAAATGTAGTCATTTGTCATGTAATGATAATATACTCTGAGAAATCTGTCCGTGAGAAGTTGGATCATTTTGGGAACATTGTATAGTTTGTCAAACAAATTAAGATGGCTGCGGTTTCCCTGAAGAATTAAATTACCTTTATGTGCACAGCCTGTGGGTGTCAGTTCTTTCCTTCCACTGTGCAGGTCCTGGGTATCAAGTTCATTGTCAGGCTTGCTACCAAGTATCTTCACCCACTTACACCTGTCACCTGCCCACCAATTTTTATATTTATTTATTTATTTATTTATTTTAACTAAAGGGCTATAGTTCAGTTCTCACCCATGTGGAGGCTTACAACCATCTATAACTCTGGCTATTTGATATCTCTTTTGACCTTTTGCCCCATGTGTAGTGCACATACGTACATTCAAGCACACTCATATATTCATAAAAGTGTGTGTGTGTGTGTGTGTGTCTGTAGCTGTGTATCAGCTGAATCTGTCTACTGCCCCTACTCTAAGTCACAGCTTGTGCCCCCAGGTATCGGATTCTGAGGGACACTGCCAAGTGGTTGGAGATTAACCCGGAGACTGGCGCCATTTCCACCCGGGCTGAGATGGACAGAGAGGACGTGGAGAACGTGAAGAACAGCACGTATACAGCTCTCATCATCGCTACAGATAATGGTACAGACACTGTGTGGCTGATCCACATCCCTGGGCTCCATCACTCTCCAGCCTGGTTGCCTCCTGTGCCTCTGCCGTTCTTTTGGAGTCGTGATTTCATTCCTTTTCTTTTATCTATAAAAGAATACTTGGTAACAAAATTCCAAAATTTGAGTCAAGTAGGGTTCCTTTCTCTTGTCTCTCCCTGCACTTGAAGCTCATTCCTACCTGCTGAAACCTGGGTTTGTATCCCAGGTTCAGGGCTGTGAATGTATCATTACTTAATTCTGTTGTTGTTTTTGGTTTTCAAGACAGGGTTTCCCTGTGCAACTCTGCTTGTCCTGGTACTCTGTAGACCAGAATGTCCTCGAACATCCACCTGCCTCTGCCTCCTGAGTGCTGGAATAAAAGGCATGAGCCACCACGATGGCCTGACATTACTTAATTCTTATAGCCGTCTTTTTTACTTTCATGTTATTTTTTATATGTGGTTTCACTGTATAATCCCGACTATTTTTAAATTCACCTTGAACTCACATGGAGCCCAGAAGACCTCAAATTTGAGGCGAACTATGCCCCCCCCCAATCCTGTGAAGTTCTAAGATTCCAAGCAAGCGCAAGGCGGGGGTGACACACATCTTTAATCTCAGTACTCAGAGGCAGAGTTAGGCAGATCTTTGAGTTCCAGGCCAGCCTGGTCTACAGAATGAGTTCCAGAACCGCCACGGCTACACAGAGAAACCCTGTGCCAAAGAAATAAATAAACAAATAAATAAAACAATAAAAATCAATAAAATGATTCCAAGGAAGCACTACCACACTCAGCTTTTTCTTAACTTTTTAAAAAGATCTGCTGGAGCCAGGCTTCTTTCGGAGGCTGAAGCAGGAGGATTGTAATTCCAAAGGATACATTATAAGGCCTTGTCTCAAAAACAAACAACAGCCTCATGGTGGTGGTGCATGGCTTTAATCCCAGCACTCAGGAGGCAGAGACAAGAAGATCTCTGTGAGTTCAAGGCCAGCCTGGTCTATAAGATCTAGTTCCAAAGCTACAGAGAAACCATGTCCCTAAAAACTAAAAGCAACAACAAAAAAACCAGTAAAAACAATAAACCCCCAAAACTTAAGTGGATTAATAGTATTTTATGAAGAAGATGAAAGCTGCACTTGATATGAAGAGCAACTCAATCATTGTACACAAAATATGCAATGAGCTTGTCAGAAAGGGGAGACGTGGTAGGGCAGGGACTGCATGGGTAGTCTGGAACCTGCCGAAGGGTCACAGTCAGCTGGAAGGTGATGTTGCCCCTGAGCTGTGACCGCCTTTCTGTTTTCTCCTAGGTTCCCCCGCTGCCACTGGCACAGGGACTCTGCTCTTGGTCCTATCTGACATCAATGACAACGCTCCCATCCCAGACCCTCGAAGCATGCAATTCTGCCAGAGGAACCCACAGCCCCACGTCATCAACATCATCGATCCAGACCTGCCCCCCAATACCTTCCCCTTCACTGCTGAACTCACCCACGGGGCCAGTGTCAACTGGACCATCGAGTACAACGACCCAGGTGTGAAGTGCAGTCCCACCTCTTGAGCAGCACTGCCTGCCCCGCTTCTGCCTTCCCCCTTCCGGATTTCCCTTCTCACTCCAGATGTACCCCCTCCTGTGTCGGGTGCCAGTTCCTTCTACTTCTCATGCATTCTCCCTTTCCTCTGAGCATACAGTATAGAAATATGGGCCCCCAAACAATCCCTTCACCCAGCTGCATGCCTTTGGTTCCCTAAACATTTGGATTTACTGAGCCTTTTGTTCTGTACCCTTCCCTGGTCTCATTTCCCTAGGCCAGGAATCTCTCCTATTGAAGCCAAAGAAGGCCTTAGAATTAGGTGACTACAAAATCAACCTCAAGCTCATGGATCACCAGAACAAAGACCAGGTGACCACACTGGACATCCTTGTGTGTGACTGTGAAGGGGCTGTCAACAACTGCATGAGGTCGGGCTACGTGGAAGCAGGATTGCAAGTTCCTGCCATCCTTGGCATTCTTGGAGGGATCCTGGCTTTGCTGAGTAAGTACAGGGGCCGGTGCCCCAGCCTGCGACCTAAGACTGGGACGGGCCATTTCCTAGGAAGAGCTTTATGTTTGGGGCCCAGATTAAACTGCCAACGAGATGAAATAGGACCCAGGGTCTTTCTGTTTTGATTCTTTTTGTGCTTCCTAAGATTGAGTGCATGCAAGTCACCTGTGCCTCTCAGTAAAGCCAGAACTCAGACCCAGTGTGCCTGGCGAGGGTCCTCAGAGGCTACATTTTGATTTGGTTTCCAAGTGATGCTGAAGTTTCGGGACTACATGGTGTGGTTACAAGGCCATGGTACTACTCACGGTTCTCGTTAGCACAGCCAAGGCTGGCAGCTACCATCACCCACCCATATTGGAGGACAGATGAGAGAGGAAGTTGAAGCCACCTAACTGTACACTGTGGACACCATTACTGCTCACATCCCGTTGACTCAAGAGCAGCCATACCAAATTGCTAGGCAGCCTGGAGACTCCTGCTGCTTAACTCCAACTGGTTGACTGAGCCCAGTGATTGCTTGGGAGACTGTGGAGATGGTGGACAGGTTGAGCAATGAATATCCATGAAGAATGGAGATGCTGGAAAGAAGCTGGCTATTTCTGTCCATAATCCTTGATTCGATTTTACCTATAGAGTGTTCTGGACTCGGTGCCAGTGCCCTGAGGATTTCTATGATCAATATTTTTTGTTGTTCCTGGCCTTTTTTTTTTCCTCCCCAGTAGATATAGTTTATTAGACTTGGCTGAAGCTGGGGAGATTCTCATATCAGGCATTTAAAGCAGAAGTTTTGCTAGGAGCCAAATGTCCAACCTTGTAGTAGGAGACTGCTTGTTGGTTCCTGGCCGACTGGCTCAGCTCCTGACCCCAAGTGGGGCACACAAACACCCGGGCCCACAAATGCCATTTATATGCTCCATAGCTGGAGTTTGCGCTGGCAGCACGGCCCAGGAAGCTGCCTTTTAAAAATGTGCAGCCTTTTTTCTGCTACCAGTGAATCAGGAAAACCTCCCTAAAGGGAGCTGTAGCACGCCACCAGCTGGGAAAAAAATGAGGCTAAACTTTGTTTTTCTGTGTCTAGAGTTGATTTTCAAGCTTTTTAAGGTTTTACATGGATTTAGTCCACCAAGTTGGTACACCAAACGTAATGGGAGGCTGCTTATTGGTTCCTGGTCCCCTGACTAGCTTAGACTGGCAAAGTTTTGGCATGTCTGATTCTGGTGGCTGCTCCATGGCCTCTCTATAACTCCGCCTTCCTCTTCCCAAGCCAGTTTCTTATTACCCAATAAAAGCAATGCATAGACAGAAGGACCTCCCATACCACAACCTGTTTCTTATTTTTTTTAGAGTGTTGTGTTTTGAGAAGGGGTCTCATCTGTAGTCCAGGCAGGTCTGGAACTTACAATGTAGCCAAGGCTGGACTTGAGGTCATTTTCCTTCAAGTGCCTACCCATCTGCCATTTGCCTGGAGTTGCAAGGCTACGGTGCCCATGACAGTTGCTTCCTCTGGTCTCCTTGCCTATGGTGCCCACAATGGTTGCTTCCTCTGGTCTCCTTGCCTATGACTTATCTCCCCCCCGCCCGCCCCCTGTGCCTCCTTTGTGTCCAGTTCTGATCCTGCTGCTCCTACTGTTTCTACGGAGGAGAACAGTGGTCAAAGAGCCCCTGCTGCCCCCAGAGGACGACACCCGGGACAATGTGTATTACTATGATGAAGAAGGAGGTGGAGAAGAGGACCAGGTGGGTTTTAAAGATGCAGTATTTAAAATCTGACGGGGTGGGGGGAGTGGTGGGGTTGGTGCCAGATACTGGCAGTGAGTCATCCCCACAGTACTGCTATGGAATACCAGAACTCTGTGATCTCAGTGATACACAAGTCAGGAAGGTGGAGGTTTCTGTCCCACCAGTCAACTCTATCCCGCCAACTGGCTTCTGAATAGCTACACAGAGACTTAACTGGCTATGTTGGGGAAATTCCCATATCAGGCATTTAAAGCAGGTTTTGTTAGGAGCCAGGTGGCTACTCCATCACTACGCCCTTCTTCCCAGCATCCTCTCAGTTTGACCCTCCTGCCTAACCTCCTCTTCCTGCCTAGCTATTTACCAGCTTTTTTATTAAACCAATCAGAAGGCCCCTTGTCAAAAAAAAACCCATCTTCACAGTGTACAGAAGGATTATTCCACAGCATCTTCACCAGACACTATTGTGTTCTCTGGAGCGTTTATTGATTCCATTGAAGCTCATAGCATCTGTAAATCTATGAGGATGCCGCTAACCCAGGCAGGGCTTTGCTGCACGCTGTGTCCAGGTCTGCTGCATGGGAGCCTAATTAATACGGGTTCCAGTAGGCATGCATCACTTGCTGTCTTGTTACCTGGGGTCCCTCACATGACAGAGTCCACTGTTAACAGGCAGAATCAGCTATGGCTGGTGAGGACTGAGTAAAATTTACCAAGCAATAATAATCCAATAGTCATGCCCTGTGAAATGAACAAGACATGAAAGTTTGCATTCATAGAACCCCCAAGTGGTCTTTCTTTCACTGTAAGTTAGGAGACTCTGAATTTTGGAAACGGACATTTCATATGCTTTTGGGCACGTGCTGGTAAGCACCACACAGAGGGTAGTTTTGGGTTTCCCAGTGGCACAGCCTGCGATGCCATGAAGTAAACAAGCCCCGCCCACGCGCCCACTTTTTCTCTTGTTGCCACGTCTCTGCTCTTCTCTCTAGGACTTCGATTTGAGCCAGTTGCATAGGGGCCTGGACGCCCGACCTGAAGTGATTCGAAATGATGTGGCTCCCAGCCACCTGAGCATGCCCCAGTATCGTCCCCGACCTGCCAATCCTGATGAAATCGGGAACTTCATCGATGAGGTAAGTAGGCAAAGCTGTGAGCCAGGGCACAGTGCATCCCTTAACTTGGGAACCGAGGAGAAAAACGTTCCTGTGAGGAGAACCTTCGAATTCTTACCTTATGGTAACTGCTTGTCCAGATCCTTGAGACAAAACCAAAATCTACGTACAAAGACTTTGTAGAATTAAAAGAAGTTGCAATGCAGACTTAGTTTGACCTTCCTGCCCCATGATCTTGGTGTCCGTCTTTTCTGATGCTGCGCTGAGACCAAGGCAGCTTTCAGAAGAGTCTAACGAGGGACTCCAGAGGACTAGAGTCCATGACTATCATGGCAGGGAGCATGGCAGCAGGCACGCATGCATGGCTGGAGCAGTAGAGGGCTCACATTTTCATCTACAAACAGAAGGCAGAGACAGAGATAGAGACAGAGGGAGCTGATTGGAAATGGCTGAACTTTTAAAACCCCAAATTCTATTCTCCATGACACACCTCCTGCAGCAAAGGCCATGCCTCCTAATCCTTTCAAGCAGTTCTAACTTGGGACCAAGCATTCGAGACTACGTAACCCCAGGAGCCTTTGTACTCCCTAGGTAGACCAGGATGGCAGGAGGTAGCAGGAGTCTGTGTCCCACGTTGGGCATAACTTGAGCATAAGAGACCTTAAAACCTGCCCCCCACAATGACACACTTCCTCCAACAAGGCCACGCTAGTCCAGCAAAGCCATACCTGCTAATAATGCCACCCGGTATGGGCCTATGGGTGTCATTTTCATCCAAACCACCACGTAGAGGATGACTTTAAATTCCTGACCTTCAACTTCACCTTTCAGAGTTAACATTTAACAATGACAGTTTGGCATCCATCCTTTGAGAATCTTCTGGGCTGATCTCATTGTTTTTAGCCTCTGTCCATTCTGATTAGCGGTTTGGGATCCTTGCTTTGGTTTCTGTGTTGATGTGCATGTTATGGATGTTGCTTACTTCAGACACACAGTAATAAATATGGTGCTCTTCCCTTTAGAATCTGAAGGCAGCTGACAGCGACCCCACGGCACCCCCTTACGACTCTCTGTTGGTGTTTGACTATGAGGGGAGTGGTTCCGAAGCTGCTAGCCTGAGCTCACTTAACTCCTCTGAGTCGGATCAGGACCAGGACTACGACTATCTGAACGAGTGGGGCAATCGCTTCAAGAAGCTGGCTGATATGTACGGTGGCGGCGAGGATGACTAGGGACTAGAGAGGAGCCCCTGGGTGGAGCCATGGAAAATGCAGAATAATGTTGCCAGTGGCCTTTCAGCTCCTTCCCCAAGTTTGTAAAAGAGAGACTGACTTGAGATGCAGTTTGCATAGTGGCCTCAGTCTACCAGTCTACTGTGTTAGAATGGTTGTCATTTGTTCTTGAAATCAGTTTTTTATTTTTACAGGGCTGGGATTTGAACTCTGCCACTGAGTCACAGGCCCACCCTCTCCTTATTTTAAATTTTATCTCCTTTTCCATGGATGGGATGAATATGGGGCTTTACAGTGAGAGGCAAGTCCTCTTGTCACCGACCCATTGCCCCAGTTCAATGTTTTTTATTTCAGAATGACAATTCGAGCCTCAGAAGGGTCAGCCAGCACTGACAGTTTTCCTTTATGTGTAAGAGATGGGGAGAGGGTCTGCCCCATTTCTCTTTCATTGTGTATAGGAAATATTTGTTTTTGTTTTTGAGCTAGCGATCCAGT